ATAAATTAAAAATTCACCTCTAAATGTGTTTGATGATCTAATTTGAGCATAAAAATCAATTTTTTGTTTTATGTTTTTTGATTACTTGATATTGTCCTACAGGTCACTGAGAATGTTTTTGGTTTTAATCGTTATTTGCTCTGGTTCTCTGAAACATTCCATTAATTTGTTTTGAAGTTGTCTCTTTCTTTCGCTGTCTCCAATCTTCTGTTTAGCATATCCCAGTGATTTTTATTTGCAATTTCAGATGCTCTAGCTCCTTAGTTCCCGAATGCTCATTTGATTTTTAAAATAGTTCCCAGCAGTAGGAGCTCATTGTGGCCGGGAGTGGCCCCTTTATTCCAGTCTGGGCGCCAGAATGAGATTCCAACTCAAAAAAAAAAAAAAAGTCAGACATGGTGGCACACACCTAAAGTCCTAGTTGTTTGGGAGACTAAGACCGTATCACTTGAGCTCAGGAGATGGAGGTTACAGTGAGTTTTGATCCTGCCACTGTACTCTATCCTAGATGACTAAGAACCTGTCTTTAAAAAAAAAAAAAAGGCAATCCCCTTGAATCCCCTCCCACTGTGGGAGCTTTTCTGTCCTCTCAATAAATCCTGCTTTCAAAAAAAAAAATGAGAACTGAGAATGAGAGTTGATTAAAATTAGGAAGATATTTAGGGCAGAAGGGGTGGCTAGGGTTAGGATTCTGAAATAAAAAAATGAAAGTTATGACCTAGAGCTGAAAGAAGGGCAAAAATTGCAATATAAACATCTTTTTTAGCTTACTTCCCAAACATCCTCCAGAGATAAGTATTTATGTCTTCATTTTTTGCAGGCTTTGTGAGGTTAAGTAAATTGCCCAATGTCTCTCAGTCAATAAATAGGGGAACCAAGATTTTAACATAAGTTTTATTTTTTCTTTTCTTAATTTTAAAATTTTTTTCTTGTTACTGACTTGAAACTCAGAATCTGTGTTCTGATTCCAAAGGATTATACTGCTTATAAATAGTTTTTGACACTTAAAAAAAAAACAACTATTTGTTCTTATCACATTGAAAGTAACTAGTGTGTTGGTAAGGATGTAGAGAAATTGGAGCACTTGTGTATTGCTGATGGAAATGTAAAATGGTGCAGCTGCTGTGGAAAACAGTATGACAGTTCCTCAAAAAATTAAACATAGTATTATCATGTGATCCAGCAATTTCACTTCAGGCAGATATTTGTGTATCAGTGTTCATAGCAGCATTATTCACAATGACTGAAAGGTGCAAGCAACCTAAGTTTTCATAATTGATGAATAAATGGATAAAGATAATGTGGTATATACATACAGAGGAATATTTTTCAGCCTTAAAAAGGAAGAAAATTCTGAAACATGCTACATGAATGTACATTGAAGACTTTATGCTAAGTGAAACAAACCAGAAACCAAAGAACAAATGTTATATGACTCCATGTATGTGAGGCACCTAGAGTAATCAAATTCGTAGAAACAATGTTGAAACAGATTGTTGTTGGGGACTGGAAGGAGGTGGAGGAAGAAAGTTACTGATTCATGGGTAAGGAGTTTCGGTTTGGAAAAGTTCTACAAGTGGACGGTGGTGGTGATTGCATAACAGTGTGAATGTACTTAATGCCAGTGAAATGTATACTTGCGTCTGCTTAAAATGGTGAATTTTGGCTGGGTGAGGTGGCTCATGCCTGTAATTTCAGTACTTTGGGAGGCCAGGGCAGGAGAATTGCTTGAGCCTAGGAGTTCAAAACCAGCCTGGGCAACATAGAGAGGCCTCTTCTCTACAAAATAGCAAAAATTTAGCTGAACTTGATGTAGTAGTCCCAGCTACTCTGTAGGCTAAGGTGGCAGGATCACCTGAGCCCGGGAGGTTGAGACTGCAGTGAGCCATGATCATGTCACTGTACTCTAGCCTGGGCTACAGAGTGAGACCCTGACTCAAAAAAATTAAAATTAAAAATAAATAAGATGGTAGATTTTATGTTGTATATATGTAATTCCCCCCCACACACATAAAGTAGCTTGTTAAAGTAGAGATGATAAAATCACTGTAATTTTTTTTAGTTTTTAAAAGTTCTTATAGACCCCTTTGAGAATCTAACCTTTGGACATTTTTCCACTCCAAATTGCAATTACAAATGTATACACAATTTGAAAAAGTTATTTTTGGAAATTTATGGCTAAACTAAATAGCAGCGTTAGGTTAATAATTAATGTTAAATAATATTAACATTACACACTTTAACTAGAAAAACCAAAGTAGTATACAACTGGAGACTTTTAAAAATATTTTATTTAAAAATTTGGAAACAAAAAATAGCAACAGTCTCACTCTTCTAATGGTTAAGATGATTTTAGATTTATTTTTGTGTCTTTTTTTGGTATATTGTTTTCTAATTATCATCCCCAAGCATTTGCTTTATGTCTTTTCTATTTTACATGCTTTATTCATTAAAAATTCATTCTTGTATTTGTAGTTTTCTGAGTTTTGTATCATATAAAAACAGTTTTACAGATACTCAGAGAAAGGAGTAGTAAAAAAGCCTGCTTCTAAAAATACAAATGAGACTGTTAATGTTGCATTCATAGGTTGTTGGATGCTGGTCCAAAATGATTTCTGAGTACATTTCACTAAAATATTTTTCACCAAAGTAGTCTTACCTACAGAACAAGGCATTTTATATACCCAATGAAAAATATTATTTCAATGCTTTTTGTCTAAAAGGGTTCAATTACTAGGAGATCTGAGTTCAAGTCCTACTAGTATTTAAAAGATCAACTTTATGGTATAAAACTCCTAATACTTTTTACCCGTTCCTTTCCATATCTAATAATTTAGTTTAGAATAGGTCATTATTCTTAAATGATATAAAAATGTTTCCATCTTTTTTCTTTTTCAGGTTCTTGTCTACCTTGATGGTCAACATATCTTTTTTAATATCACGACATTTTCAAGAAAAATTAGTGAACAGATCAGAACTTCTTTTTGACACAATAGGTTTTTCTGAGGTCAGCACTGCAAGAAGAATAGTACAATTTCTTCAAAATGTTAAATATGGTTATCAACCACTATTAGAAAGATGTAATAAAGTATTTTTAAGCAATATGGACCACCTTGATTTGGATTCCATCAGTAAAATACTTAGTCTATATCAGTTTCTACGGTTTCATAGTTTTGAATTTATTACAATGGCGAAGAAGAAGCTAACTAAGATGATTCCTCTGTTTGATCACCCTGCTAGCTTTGTAAAATTGTTTGTAGCATTGGGACCCATGGCAGGACCAAAAGAAAAGAAACAGTAAGTACAGTTTAAAATGCTTTACTTTTTGTGTGTGACTATATTGAACCTTCAAGCTTAGGTCTCCTTGCAGCTCTACAAGACACAATAGTCACCCCATTAGACTGTGGAAGGGAAAAGAATCTCTTATGCTTTCTGGTTTACATCTCAAATTCTTAGTCTACTGTTATGTTCCAAAAGGCAGCCCATAGACCATTTGTGCTGGGCCAACACGGAAAAAGATGAGGGCGAACACATGTAAGTGTTTTTATTCTTCTTTCCTAGGTCATGTGACTGGATTTACACACAGGCTACTCCGCCACCTACCATAACTATGGAATCTTTAGAATTATAGTAGTTGTAACAGTGAACCATTTTATGCTTTGTTGTCTTCTTCACTTCACATTTATCATCGAAGCATTTATTATGTACTTGGTATATGTCCCTATGTCAGGTTTGAGTGAATTTTTTCTGTCTCCTCTCTCTTTTTTTTGTCAGGGGTCTCACTTGTTGCCCAGGTTGGAGTGCAGTGAGACCAGCATGGCTCACTGCAGCCTCAACTTCAACTTCCTGGGCTTGAGCAATCTTCCTGCTTCAGCCTCCCTGGCTCCTCTCTATTTAAGAATTTCTAGTTTTGCCAGATATTGATATAGGTAGAAATACTTGGGATATAAAGATGAACAAATATTAAATTAATATTTAAGTATGGTTAGTAGATAAAATTCTGCCTTTGTAGGCCATGTGACTGTGTTTATACATAGACGTAAGCTTCCCCTACCCAGCTTAAGTATATGAAATACTTGGAATTATACTAGTCCTAAAAGATAAGTATAATTAGTAGATTCAGTTAAAATTAGGTTCCAGGAGTTGCATGATAGAGGAATGTGCATCATTACTCTGTTAGGGAAAACTTTATGGAGAAAGTTTTATGTTTTAAGAGTGCTTTGAATTTTATGAAAAAATTTAAGGCCACATCTTAGGACTATATTGAGATGGAAACAAGATGATTATTAAAAAGATTTCATTGGACTATTTTTTTTGTCACTAAATACTGTTAAAATCTCATATGGTAGAGCAGTACAGGAGTTGAATTAAGCTGAGTCTACCTTCAGGGAATTTATATTCTAGTCGAGAGGATAGAAAGATATAATTGAAATACATAAATACCATAATATCACAACATAACTTATGAATAAACAATTCAATTAGTGATACAGGTGGTACTATGGGCAGACAGAGCAGTGAGGGAAAAAATGTAGACAAAATTGGTTGGGAAAAATTTGGGGAGAAGCTGGATTTGAAACGTTTAGAAAGGCTGGTGAAAAGGCTGGCATGGAGTTATCCAACATGAATAGACTGTTGGTTATCTTGTTGTCCTTAGATTCATGTTTTAAGCTTGCCTTTCAAATTATTCTAAAAGACATACTTGTTATAACTTACAGTACTGCACCACTTTGGGTAATTTCAAAATGGACCATCTTTGTTAATTTTCAGTTTACAGTGTTATTCAAGTGCTTAATGTATAATGTTTACTGACTTCCTGGTTAGTTCTTATTCAGTTTTAAAATATTGGAATATTATTAGACTAACAATTCCTTAGCTCTCCAGTACTGAATAATTTCACTGATTTATAGTTTTTTGGTTTTTTTTAGTAGGAGTCACACTCTGTCGCCCAGGCTGGAGTGCAGTGGCATACTCATGGCCACCCCAGCATTGACCTGCAGGGCTCAGGCATTCTTTCTCCCTCAGCTTTCCAAGTACCCAGAACTATAGGCGCTCACTACCAAGCCCGGCTATATAGTATTTTATAACCATTATAACCTTATATTATCGGAAAATTTTTAAAGATATTTTATCTGCTTTTTTAAAAATAGTTTAAGATTAGATTATACCAAGGCCTTGATTGCATTGAAGAAGAAAAAATATTTTTCTTTCTCCAGTAATATATATTTTTTTTTTGAGTTGGAGTCTCAGTCTGTCACCCAGACTGGAGTGCAGTGGCTGCTCCCGGCCACCGCAGCCTCGACCTGCTGGGCTCTGGCGATCCTTCCGCCTCACCCTTCCAAGTAGCCGGAGTTACAGGCATGCGCTACCATGCCCAGCTGATTTTTTGATTTATTGTAGAGATGAGGTCTCGCTGCCCAGGCGGGTCTCGAACCTGCGGGCTCAGTCAATCCACTCACCTCAGCCTCCCAAAGGCACGGGATTACAGGCTGAGTCACCGAGCCGGCTCCAGTAATATTTTTTATTATCCCCAAGTATGTGGGGGAGAAAGTTGAAATTATATACTAGATTGAGTTTTTGTTTATATTAAATTTGTTTTGTATTTGTTACCCCCAAACTGTTACTTAAAAAAAAATTTTACAAGCAAATATTTCATTTTTCAACATAAAAAACATTTTTCTTTGCTTCTAGACTTAAATCAACATTATTATTGATGTCAGAGGAGCTGACCAGCCAGCAAGCCCTGGCAGTGGTGGGAGCAATGGAAGAGATGGAAAGCAGAAATTCACATCTGATTAAAAGGTACTCTTTTGTGAAACATGGTGTTAAGTTAGTTGTCATTCACAAGTAACTGAGGAAGAATTTTTTTTCTATAATCCAGCTGTTGTTTTGAAGAAATAAGAAATTAACACTCAACGCATTATTTATGTCTAGTTTAATTTGCAGAATAGAGATGATAATTGTTTATAACATCTTTTATTTTATTTGGTGCTGTTGTTATACTCAAACAGAGCATCGTAATCTGGTAAAGTAGAGGGTAGCGTTGTACTTCTGGGCTCAAGTGATCCTCTCGCCTCAACCTCGCAAGTAGCCAGGCACTACAGGTGTGTGCTACCACACCCAGTTAATTTTTGTACTTTTTGGTAGAGAAGGTCTTGCTACATTGTCTAGGCTGGTCTTGAATTCCTGGGCTTAAGCAATCCTCTTATCTTGGCCTTCCAAAGTACTGGGATTACAGGTGTGAGCTACTGCATCTGGCTTGCTGTTCCTTTATCTTAATATTTCTTTGGAAGCCAGGCATGGTGGTTCATGCCTGTAATCCTAGCACTTTGGAAGGAAGAGGCGAGAGGATTGCCTGAACCCAGGGGTTCAATAACGGCCTGGGCAATTGGCGAGACCTTGTCTCTTAAAAAAAAAAAAAAAAATCAGCCGGGCTCGGTGGCTCAGCCTGTAATCCCATGCCTTTGGGAGGCTGAGGTGAGTGGATTGCCTGAGCCCGCGGGTTCGAGACCCGCCTGGGCAGGCGAGACCTCATCTCTACAATAAATCAAAAAATTAGCCGGGCATGGTAGCGCACGCCTGTAATTCCGGCTACTCGGAAGGCTGAGGCGGAAGGATCGCCGGAGCCCAGCAGGTCGAGGCTGCGGTGGCCGGGAGCGGCCACTGCTCTCCAGTCTGGGTGACCGAGTGAGACTCCAACTAAAATCTTCTGTCTCATTTCTTCCAATTTACTGCCTCTTAGCATTTCCCACTGCTTTTAAGCATCTCCATTTGAGGGTCAGTGGATTTACGGGAGGAAATTAAATCAGTTTTGCTAATTGTTAGTAACTCTTGGTAACGGTTTTGTTATGGGAGGATGTGGAATTTGATGGCTTCTCTGTGCGATTTACCAAGGAAGTAAAACTATGCTTTTCTCTCCTCTTACTATTGATCGAATATTATTTCATTCACACGTCATTGATTGCTCTTATTTCATTCTGTTTTGTTTATATTTCTAATGCCATCTTGAGACAATTTTTCAAGAATAGAAAACTTTGCTCATTGTTGTTTCTTCAGCACAGAGCAGAGTGTCTGACTGGAAGCTCCACAGTAAATGTTTAATAAATAAATTAGTGAACTGGTTATGATATATGTTCTATAATTCTTTTTATTTGTAAATTTATTTTTATTTTTTTCCTTTTTAAAAATTCTTTTTAGAATTGCTTCAGTTCTACATAAACATTTGGATAACTATAAACCAGTAGAATTATTGAAGATAACTCAAGCATTGATTTTTCTACATTTTCAAAGTAAGGAGCTTTTTGTGAAACTCAGAGAATTACTGCTTAGGTAAGAGAAAAATATAATTTTTTTTTTTTTTTTTTTTTAGTGTTTCATTTTATGATCTAGCCACAATATTTTTTTTTGTTTTAATTACATACTGAGTTGCTAAGACTTTTAGAAGCTAATTTGGGTCCTTTTTACTAACAACAAGATACTTATTTATCTCCATGCCCATTCTGCCAGTGTCCATTATGTGTTTTGAAATGGAAATGAGGCCAGTAGGTGATTGAGTTCTTTAGGAGAGGAATGGTAGTAAACTGATGAATAGTTAAGCCATTTTGCTGCAGAAATAGAGTGAATAACCATGAAAAGGTTGGGGCTGCTGAAGAAGGTAGAACTCCATTTGGGAGCATTCATTTAGGGCTCTTCAGTCTTGTTTACTTGTTTCTTGTTTTAAGGCTTATTAAATGTTTAAATTTGAAATTTTAAAAATATTTATTAATTTTAAAAATTAAAATATACATAATGGAGATGTTAGTGAAAAAGTGTTCATACAGAATTTTCCTTTTATAATTTAAAATTACCTTAGATTCTATGAATTATAGCATTTATATCTCAACTAAGAAGTTATTCAGTTTTCCATTGACTTACATTAGGCTAACACGAAGTTTTCCTTGAAAATTTTTAAAGGTCAAAATAATGACTTGAATAAAATTCAAACCAGATTAATCTTTCTGCCTTACATTTTTCACTACTAGGTTGATTTATTTTTTCTCTTTTTACATTTTTATTGATTTATTTTGTCTTTCTGTCACACAGGGTCAATTGCTATGATCATAGCTTATTGTAGCCTTGAACTCCTGGACTCAAGCAACTCTCCCACATCAGCCTCCTGAATAGCTGAGACTACAAGTGTACCACCACACCCATTTTCTACAAATAATTTTGTAGAAATGGGGTCTTGCTATGTTGCCCAGGCTGGTCTCAAGCTCCTGGGCTCAAGCAATCCTTCCATTTCAGTCTCCTGAGTAGCTGGGATTATAGGTGTGAGCCACCCTGCCTAGCTAGTTTGACTTTTTATCATGATTTTTGAAAGACCAGGAGTTCAGGGCCGTAGTAAACAAATATTTGATTTAGTTACATATTTTTATATATTTATGACTAATTTTTGGCTACTATGAATAGTGCTATTGATGAACATGCTCATACATGTCTTTTAATGATTATATATATTCATTTCTGTAGATATTTACCATAGAGTATAATTGTTGATTCATAGTTTATGCATATGCTCATCTTCAGTAGATTCTGCTAAACATTTTCTAAAGTGGCTGTCCCAGTTTATACTTCCACCAGCAGAATGTGAACATTCCTGTTGCTCTATATTGGTATTTTTTAAAATTCTAGCTGTTCTGGTGGATGTGTTATGGTATTATAAATAAACACATGTGAATATCAAAGCTTTGAACTTAAGAAGTATCACAAGGAAAAACAGCAAGTAGAGATTGGAGAGATTGTGTCTGTTGAGGGTTTATTTGTAGAAAAGTATTCCAAGGTTGGCAAGTAATGAGAGTTATGTACTTTGGATCAATTCCATAAACAGATGCAGTTTTTTGAGAACTTTCTTTTTATAAATACAAAGTGGTATATTAACTTTTGTGGTTATAATCTTGTATAATCAAATATTACATAGAAATAAATTTGAAATTATATAGAAATAATTTTGAAATAATCTTGGGATTATAGGCATGAGCTACCACACCCAACCTATACTTCTAAATTTAAAGATTCCTTAAAAACTGCCAGTTTAAAAATTTTTTGGTAACAATTGGTGCCTTGGTGGTGGGAACCTTACCATGTGGATTTGGGAAAGGAGAAGTAGAGAATCGGGTCAATTTATGTATGTGGTGTATACATAATTATGTAGTTATGTCCTATGGTGGTTTTATTTGTTTGTTTTAAACGTTGGACTTTCTGTGTACCAGAAATGAGAAAGGAACCAATATTATTAAGTGACCACGATATGCCATAGCCTGTACTGTACTAGATCATATCAGCTTCTGACAGGTTATATCAGAAATTGAACCCAAATTCTTTCTCCAGCAACAGCGTTGGAAACATTGTTCTGGCACTGACCTTCCGTTTGCCAGGGACTGTGGTCTCATTTTTGCATTGAAAAATTTTGAGGACTGGGCACAGTGGCTCAAGCCTATAATCCCAGCACTTTGGGAGACTGAGGCAGGAAGTTCATTTGAGACCAGGAGTTCAAGATCAGCCTGGGCAAGATAGAGAGACCTCGTCTCTACAAAAAATAAAAAAATTAGCTGGGCATGGTGGTGTGTGTCTATAGTCCCAGCTACTTGGAAGGCTGAAGCAGAAGGATTGCCTGAGCCCAGGAGGTTGAGGCTACGGTGAGCTGTGCTCATGCCACTATACTCCAGCCTGGGCAACAGAGTAAGACTTCCGACTCAAAAAAAAAAAAAAAAAAAAAAGAATGAAATCTGAATGTGCTTCAGAACTTCTTAGGCTTCCCTTAGTGACCCTTTATGGACCTGTCATCTTTGAATTTATCTCACACTCCTTAAATTAACTTGTTTATTACCTATTAATATTAGCTATAGTAATAATAGCATATTCATATTTTAATATATATATTTTTTGGTTTTGTTGCTGATGTAGTAATTTTTTTCTTTTCATCTTTACCCTCTTCCTTTGTAGTTATTTAAAAATTAGTGTCATACCAAGCGAAATTTCCGTTCTGGTCTGTGCCATTTGCATGCTTCCTTCTCCTTACCTGGATGAAGCGGCGACATCCCGAATTGAAGCAGTTTTACCACAGTGTGACCTACATGGCCTGAATGGTTTTGCCACATCTGTTTTAAGATGGATTCAGTATGATCACACATATTTGGATAGTGGGAAACAACTGAAACTTCTTAAAAAATTAGATCACTATGGTCATCAGAGACTACAACAAAGCAACAATTTGGATCTGTTGTTGGAGGAACTTAAATTTGTCAAAGGAGATTGGCTTCCTGAATCACTTCTTGAAGAAACAATTGCTACTTTACAGCGTTTGATGAATGAAATCAATTACATAAATGTTGCAGGGATTGCATCTTTTATTTCTAGAACTAACCACCTCAGTACTTTGCTGCTTGATAGGATAGCCTCAGTGGTTGTTCAGCAGATTGAAAAGGTGAAGTTTAAATGTTACACATTAGTTTTATGTAGTTGTCAACTTCTAGAATTATAATTTTTTATCATAAGCAATTTAAAAGCTTGGATTGGAATTTGAAGTAGAAAAATTAAACTCTGGTTTCTAGTTCAGCAATTTGTTGTTTGTCCCCTTGAAACCACTTTCTTCCTCTAGCATTGCAGATTTGGAGATATCTGAAGTCATCATCTGGTTCATTACAATATTGATAAGATCAATAATCAAAATTATTTGAGTATATTAGTTGTATTAGGATAGTAGAGTATGATTTTTGTTTTTCCTTATTTTTGATAATCCAGTGTATTACTTTTACTATCTAAAAACGATTACATTCAGGCCAGGCACAATGGCTCATACCTATAATCCCAACACTTTGGGAAGCCAGGCAGGTGGATTGGTTGAACCCAGGAGTTCGAGAGCAACCTGGGCAACATAGTGAGACCTCGTCTCTACAAAAAAATAAAAATAATTAGCTAGGCAGGGTCGTGTGCACATATAGTCCCAGGTACTTGGGATGCTGAGTCAGGAGGTTGAGGCTACGGTGAGGCATGATCATTGTGATTATGCCAGGGCACTCCAACCTGGGCGACAGAACGCGACACTGACTCAAAAAAATAAAATGAATAAATAAGTAAATAAGTAAAAACAATCACATTCAAAAGCGCAAGATAAGCATGGAAACTGAGAAAATTTTAGGAATCCACTGACATCAGTACCTTAAATTATCAGTGTATCTTCTTGCAGATTTATTTCTGGGATTTACTTGTAAAATACTGCTTTATAGATTATGCGAGAAGCAGCTCACTACAACTACTAGTGTGTGTGTGTGTGTGTGTGTGTGTGTGTATCAGAGTAAGACCTTTATTTAAAAGACTGTTTTGCATAAATGAAAATAAAAGTCTGTCTTACTTGCTTAGCATAGTGCTGGGCAGTTATTAAATATTAGATGAGTGAGTGAAAAATGAAATTAAAAAATGAATGAAAGAAAAATGCTAATAGTTATAAACTAAGAAACTTCTTTAATTACATTATATAATGATTCTATAAAATGTGCTGATCATGGCTATTGGTGATACTTTTTCCTATGCATTTCAATGAATAATGAATTCTGGAACAGGATTTACAACTAACAAAATAAATTTGTAGATCATCTAATTTAATTTTTTTGCATTAATACTTTTAGTGTTACTAATAGTTGGTGGGATTAAATAACTTTTGGAGGAATGAGTCACTTTTGAATGTGATTGTTTTTATTTATAGCAGAGTGAAAAAATTAATAAGCAGTGATATATTTATTATATAGCAGAGTGGAAAAATTAATAAGCAGAGTGATATATTTTTTATTTAACCATAGACATGATAGGAAAATACTTCACCTAAGATAACAATTAGATTAAAATGTTGTTTTGTTTTACTGAAGTTTAAACTATAAAATTTTTGTCCTGTTTATACAGATCCATCCTTTTGCAATCCTTGCTGTTATTCTTCCATTCAGTGTCTTGAACTATGATCCACCCCAAAGGGATGAATTTTTAAAAACTTGTGTGCAACATCTTAATTCTTACTTAGGTAGGTATATTCTTTCATGATAAATTGAATGAGTGAGTCAGAGGATACCTATTGCTGCTGAGCTGAGAGAAGCCCCTCATTTAAAGGGTAACTATACTATCCATGATTTCTTTACCTGAAAAAAGTTTATATTCTTTTTTTTTTGAGTTGGAGTCTCACTGTGTTGCCCAGCCTGGAGTGCAGTAGCCGCTCACGGCCACCGCAGCCTCGACCTGCTGGGCTCCGGCGATCCTTCTGCCTCAGCCTTCCGAGTAGCTGGAACTACAGGCACACGCCACCACGCCCGATAAATAAATTTTTTGATTTATTGTAGAGATGAGGTCTTGCCAAGTTGCCCAGGTGGGTCTCGAACCCGCAGGCTCAGGCAATTCACTCACCTTGGCCTCCCAAAGCATGGGATTACAGGCTGAGCCACCGAACCTGGCCTATATATTCATTTTTAAAACTTTTCAAGGCCAGGCTCAGTGGCTCAACCTGTAATCCTAGTACTTTGGGAGGCCAAGGTGAGTGGATTGGCTGAGCCCACGGGTTCGAGACCAGCCTAGGCAACTTGGCGAGACCTCGTCTCACAATAAATCAAAAATTAGCCGGGCATGGCATCACACACCTGTAGTTCTGTCTAACTGGAAGACTGAGGCAGAAAGTTGACGCTGGGTTGGCCGTGAGTGTGCCACTGTACTTCAGCCTGGGTGACAGAGTGAGACTCTAAATAAAAAAATAAAAAATAAATAAAACTTTTCAAATATGAAAAATGTCAAACATATAAAAAATGGAAAGAATTGAACAAGAAACACTTGTATACTTATTGTGTAGATTCAGTAATGTTAACATTTTATCCTATTTACCTTATCTGTTTATGTCTCTTCCTCTCTTTTTTCTGAGCCAGTTGTAGGCATTGTGACTGCTCACCCCTAATTACTTTAGCATACAAATCCTAGGAATAATGACATTCTTCTATATCACTACAATACAGTTAGCACACATAAGAAATATAATAATAATCTCCTAATATCTAATACATAGTTCATGCGGTCTCCCTAGTTGTTAACCAGTATACCTTTTAAACTAGTTGTTTTGGACTCAGGATTCAATCAAGATTCACATGTTGTGTTTAGTTATTATCTCTTTAGTCTCTATGGATTTCCTCTCCCCCTTCCTTTTTTTTCTTGGCATTTACTTTTTTGGCGGTTTTTGTTTTTTCCTAACTTTTTCTCAAGGTTTCCAGATATACAGAAAAATTGAAAGAACAATATAATAAACATCTGTATACTGTAGACCCACAGTCTAGCTTAAATAATGATTAACATTTGCCACATTTGCTCTGTGTGTACAAACAAATGTATATGTGTGATGAACCTTCCAATTATCAGTTTTGTGTACTTCAGGTTGTAAGGACATTCTCCTCTGTAACTACAGTGCCAAAGAAAATGAACATCTGCTACCTAATCCGTAATTGTATTTTTCCAGCTATCACTAAATTTTGTTTATTTGTTTGTTTGTTTGTTTTTTTATTTATAGTTGAGATCTCACTCTGTCGCCCAGGCTAGAGTTTGGTATCATAATCATGACCCACAACAGCCTCCAACTCCTGAACTCATGTAGTCCTTATGCCTGAGCCTCTCAAGTAGCTGGAACTACAAGTGTGCATTACCATGCCTGGCTAATTTGTGTGTGTGTATGTGTTGGAGTCTCACTCTGTCACCTAGGCTGGAGTGCAGTGGCACACTCACGCCCACCCCAGTGTCAGCCTGCTGGGCTCCGGAGATCCTTCCGCTTCAGCCTTCCAAGTAGCCAGAACTACAGTTGTGTACTACCATGCCCGGCAGTTTTTTGATTTCTTGTAGAGATGAAGTCTTGCCAAGTTGCCTAGGCTGTTCTCGAACCCGTGGGCTCGGGCAATTCCCTCACCTTGGCCTCCCAAAGTGCTGGGATTACAGGCTTGAGCCTCTGTGCCTGGCCTAATTATTATTATTTATTTATTTATTTATTTGTAGAGATGAAATCTCACTATGTTGCCCATGCTAGTCTCAAACTCCTGAGTTCAGACAGTCTTTCCACCTCAGCCTCCCAAAGTGCTGGGATTACAGTTGTTGACATCGTGCCTGGCCAAATTGTCTTTTATAACTTTTTTAGTAAAACAGCCAACATTGAGTGGTTATGTCATTTTTCCTCATCTTTTTTCTTGATAGATTTGTTATTTCTTATAAATTATGCCACATTCTGGATTTCTCTGTTTTCCTTTAACTTGCTACTCCACAACTACTGCATGTCTATAATAAATTTTAGTTTAGAACAAAGTTAGGTATAGATGCTTGATTAGGTTCATAGTAAACATTTTCAACCAAAATACCTTATATGTGATGCTGTTTATTTAAATCATATCTGGAGGCATGTAATACCTGGCTGTTTCTGTCAATTTCATAGTTTGTTTTTAAAAGTAACCAAATGTGGCTAGGCGCGGTGGCTCATGCCTGTATAATTCCAGCACTTTGGGAGGCAGAGGTGAGAGGATTGCCTTAGCCTGAAGATTCAAGACCAATCTGGGCGACTTGGCGAGACCTTGTCTCTGCAGTAAATCAAAAAATTAGCCAGGTGTGGTGGCTCGTGCCTGCAGTTCCAGCTACTTGGAGGGCTGAGGCAGAAGGATTGTCTGAGCCCAGCAGGTCGAGGCTGCGGTGGCCGTGAATGTGCCACTGCATTCCAGCCTGGGCAACAGAGTGAGACTCTGACTAAAAAAACAATAATAATGAAAATTAAAATTAAAAAATAAAAGTAACCAAAGGTTTCTTAAGACCTCTAACAGATGTTTCTGAATTGTTTGAAGGGTGGCTTCTTTGTTACTGATTATTTTGCTCTCTCAGAAAGATCTTTAAGTAGCATTTCAATACTGGATAAAGGTCGAATAGAAATCGTACTTCCTACTGTTGTCCTTAGCAGAAGCAGTATGTGAGGATAGCTGAGGCAGGAAATTACTTTTTCTTTTTTTCTTTTCATTCTTTATTTTGACCTTTAAGGAATAGAGCTTTATGGGACTTTTCTCCTCAGACTCACACCATGAATTGCCAGTATGATACAGAAGTTTTAGAAGTGATATATCTGGCTTAATAGTTGTTGCCTTTTCTATCAACATTCACCATGTACTTATTGTGAGGTATTCTTATAGGCACGGGAGATACAGGAGAGAGTGAAAACAGGTAAACTACCCTCACTGAGTTTGCTTTCTGGTAGGGGTAGATTGCCATAAACAGAAAACAGATCTCTAAGGTCAATGGTGATAAGCACTCTCAAGAACTTCAGAACAGGGTAAGTGTAGGATGGAGCATCATGGGATGGGGTGCTATTTTTTCAGACTGCCTCTCTGAGTGCCATTTAACTATGGGTCAAATGAAGGGAGGGAGTGATCATGTGAATAAATGGGCAAGTAAATCCCAGGATGGAAGAAAGGCAAGTGTAAAGGGCCCTGAGGTGAGAGCTTGTTTGGTTTCTTCCAGGAACAGCAGATTTAGTGTGACAGAAGTGGAGTGAGGAAGACTGAATTGGTAGGAGATGAAGATGGGAAAGAGCAAGAAATAAGTGTCCTCAGAGATTTTGGCAGTAAGAGTTACCCAGTAAGTCTTCTGCCAAGCTGCAGATACTTACTGAGAGCGTCTACATCCAGCATAGATATTAGGGCTCAACATTAGGGTATATTTATATAGACCTATAGACCTCTGGTTAAGCTGCTGTATAACCAGTATAAATATATTAATTGTATCATTGTCATGCTAATGGACTTTTACTTTTTAGTTTTTAATATATATATATATATATTAATATATTTATTTTTGAGTTGGAGTCTCACTCTGTAGCCCAGGCTGGAGTGCAGTGGCATGCTCATGGTTACTGCAACATCAGTCTGCTGGGCTCAGGTGATCCTTCTGCTTCAGCCTTCCAAGTAGCTGGAACTACTGACGTGCACCACCACACCCGCCTAATTTTTTGATTTACTGTAGAGATGAGGTCTTACCATTTTGCCCAGGCTAGTCTCAAACCTGTGGACTCAGGCGATCCTCTCACCTCAGCTTCCCAAAGTACTGGGATTACAGGTGTGAGCCGCCACACCTGGCCATTTTTTATGGTATCTATAGGCCAGATGGTATCTAACCATGTCTGATACTACTATGTCCCAGCCCAGAAGATGGGACTGTAATGTGTATGTATATATGCGTATATGGTTCTATGCATATGCAGCATTAGAAAAGATAGACTGAGAGTGGTAGCTCATGTCTGTAATCCCAGCACTTGAGAGGCTGAGGCGGAAGGATCACTTGAGCCCAGGAGTTCAAGGCTGTAGTGAGCTATGATCATACCACTGTACTCGAGCCTGGGTGATAAACCAAGATCCTGTCTCAAAAAAAAAAAGAGAGAGAGAGAGAAGATTGAGAAGTACATCCTTGTTTATTTAAGATGTAATCAGAGTATTTGTAAAATTCCTAGAAACCTTTATAAGTGGAGTAATAATTTTCTTTGTTTTGAGTAAAGATGATGATGATGATTTAAGAGACAAGGTCTTCTATTGTCACCCAGGCTGGAGTGCAGTGGCATGATCATAGCTCACTGTAACCTTAAACTCCTAGGCTCAAGGGATCCTCCCACCTCAGCCTCCTAAGTAGCTGGGGCTACAGGTAAGCACTTCTAAACCCAGCTAATTTTTTTGATTTTTTTGTAGAATTGAGGTTTCTCTATGTTGCCTAGGCTGATCTCAAACTCCTGGACTCAAGTAATCCTCCCATCTTGGCCTCCCAAAGTTCTGGGATTACAGGTGTGAGCTACTGTGCCCAGCCCTGGTTAAGTTTAAAAAAAATTTTTTTTTGTAGAGATGGGATCTCATTATGTTGCCCAGGCTGGTCTTGAATCCTAGCCTCAAGTCATCCTCCTTTCTTGGTCTCCCAAAGCACTGGGATTATAGGCATGAGCCACCACACCTGGCCAATAAAGATTACTTTGGACAGATTAATTTTGCTGGTGGAGATCATCTTGC